ACATTAATAATAACTAAAGTCCAAAACTTACCGAAAACTTTTTAATCCTTAACGGTATTAATCATAAAAATGTGTAAGTAAATTAGTACTACGAGTAATGTACTAAAATTACGTACATATATATCTGTCACGCCTGTCTTCCATTATGGTAGGCAGAAACAATGGAATGCCAAATGCATTGATTTAAATAGACCTCTTCCACTTCCTCCACATTTATAAATCTTTTCATTAGTTCACCGGTAATGCACACTTCTCTTTCTTTCTCTCTCTTCTCTAATAAAAATGTAACTAGATGATGTCTGTACATGAGAAATATGAAAAAATATGAGATTTTTAATAAGAAAAATAGAAGCCTTAAAACAATTTTTTTTTAATTTTGTCTATCTCTTTATCTGTACATATGTATTCCTGAAGGTTTAACTTGAAAACTGGCATATGTTTTATTTTGATACGTCATGTGAAAGTGATCCATTTAATTGGGTTTTCTACTCCACGCTTATCAGCAAATAAAAAGCTAGTCTTTAATAATGTTATAAATGTGAAAGTGCTTTTGCTATCTTAATCGTCTTAAAGGCTTAACTAATCAATCAGAGGGATTATTTACTGTATATGTACTGACAAGATGGTAACTATACGATTTACAGAGGATCTGAAAGGCAGGTACAAAACACTCATCGATGGAGAAATCTGATGGAAAAATTAAATTTATGTAAGGGGGAACCGCATGGAAATCCACTTAATAGGTATTTTGTATATCCAGGATATATTGCTAGCAATAGATGCTAGCAATATACCCTAGATATACAGAAGATTGCTATTAGACTCAATGGGTAACACTGGTCTACAAATTTTGACTTTAAAAAAGTATTGTTCATGGAAAGTAGATTTTTTTATTGATTTCCACGTACTAAACACAAAAATAATTAATAAACATTAAAATTAGTTTCCCTTATTTAGAAAAAAAAATAAGACGATTTTTGAAAAAATTTACAGAAATTATACAGTTTTTTTAATCATAAGTGGAATTTCGACGTGGTCTCTTCGCTGCCCTCTTATATTCTGCTTCTGGAATATCTCGACAAACAGTCCAGCAATAATCCGCCAACATTGAAACGTTCCAATGGCCTTGATATCGCTTTTCCATGTTGGCAATATCCTGATGAAAGCGCTCCCCATGTTCATCGCTTAAAGCCCCACAATTATCCGGAAAGAAATCCAAATGCGAATGTAAAAAGTGGATTTTCAAGGACATGTTGCAACCCAGTTTTTGGAATGATGATAACATATTTTCTATAAGTTCAGCATAGTTGTCACTCCTTTTATTTCCTAAGAAGTTTTTTGCAACAAGGCGAAAATCATCCCAGGCTTTTTTTTCTTTACCTTCTAGAACCGAGTCGAAGTTATCATCTTTAAATAAATTTCTTATTTGAGGACCTACAAATATTCCTTCCTTGACCTTAGCGTCACTTAATCTTGGAAATTTCTGGCGAAGATATTGAAAAGCAGCTCCATTTTTGTTCATTGCTTTTACGAAATTTTTCATCAGTCCTAGTTTAATATGCAATGGCGGAAGTAAAACATTTTGTGGGTTAACTAAAGGGTCATTTTTAACATTTTTTTGTCCAGGTTGAAGTGTCTGACGATGGGGCCACAACTTTTTTTATAATGCTCTTTTCTATCACGACTATCCCATTCGCAAATGAAGCAACAAAATTTCGTGTAGCCTAATTGTAGTCCGAGCAGCAGAGCTACGACTTTCAAATCCCCGCAGATTTGCCATTGGTGTTTATCATACTTAATCCGCAACAGAAGGGTTTTCATGTTTTCATAAGACTCTTTCATATGGACCGCGTAACCAATAGGAATCGAAGGTAAAATATTTCGGTTATGTAACAAAACAGCTTTCAAGCTTAACTTCGAGCTATCTATGAAAAGTCGCCATTCATTCTGTTTATACGTAATTTTAAGAGCTTTCATCAAACCACTAACATCTATACAAAAAACTAAACTTTCAGCCATTTCAAAATATTGCGTTAAGTTTTTTTGTCTAGTACGGAAAGATGTAATATTCACACCACTTTCTAATAGGTTCCATTGTTGCAGTCTCGATCCTAAAAGTTCTGCTTTGTTCTTGGGCAAATCTAAGTCCCTTACAAGATCATTTAATTCGGCTTGTGTTATCCTGTGTGGCTGTGATGACGTACTAGGTACTTCGGATTCTGACATTGAAGAAATTGATGGTGAAGTAAGTGTAATTTCATCTTCCTCAATATGAGGACGTTTCGGAATCGGGTGAAGATTGCTGTGCGGCAGAGGACGAGTAGCCGATGGTACATTCGGATACACTATGGTTTTTTTCTTTTTTTTAGAAACACCCTTGCCTTTTCCAAATACATGGGTTGTCAGGCAGAAATAACAATCAGTTGCATGATTTGTCGATTCTCGCCACTGCATTGGCACTGCAAATCGAAATGATGGTTTTTTGCCATTCAGCCAATTTCTTAAGCCTGTAGCACACGGATTGCAACAAAAATGTGGAACCCAGCTTTTATCCTGATGTTTTATGCTTTCGTTAAAATAGTAATAATAAGCTTTTTTTATTGCAGGTGATATTGAACACTTTTGCTTATTAAATATCACTTCACCACAAATGTAACAAAAATTGTCGGAATTGTTTACACATTTTCGAGACATTTTGCTATAAATTATACGTATTTTTTTTTATTTTTAATACTTTTATCACTTAGTAATACAGATCACTTTAACTAAACATAATATTTTTAACATTCGATGCCGACTAAGTAAATATAATCAGCATTATCAAGTTCAGTGAGGGTAGAATCATTAAATTCGGAAAATGTCAAGTATTGCAAAAACTCAAACTAATAAATCACTTTCACTTGTCAATTTGTATTCAGCATGGGTAGTTGAGTAGAAATTTGTTAAAATTATTTCGAATACTTTTCCGTTGTAGACCTGTGTAATTAATAATGACTAATAAATCTTTTAGAAAACGTATACAAGAATGCAATTGTGTAAATTTAAATGCTCAAGGTACCACTTGATCGAGTAGAAACGGAATGCCAACACCGTGTGGTCCCGACATAGATTGGGTCACCCCTTCTTTTTCCGTAGGTGTCATAGGAGACGACAGTTAACAGCTGATATGATGATGATGATGAATAATCCTTTTCATCCCCATTTACACATTTCCAATATTAAGCAAGTAATACTCATATATTGTAAATTAATCTATTTAAATGAGATACAAGTCACAACATAATTACAGCCAGGGATTACATTTTAAACAAAGCCAACCTCCGAATTTATATTTTGAATAAATGAGATTATTATTATTCGAAATCAGTACCGTTATTATATTGATTATAACATATCGTATATATGTTTATAAATCAAATATAAATGTTTATAATTTAATTAAAATAATTGTTTTATTTAGTTTAATTTTTATTAAAGAAAAAACCAACAGCTCAAAAATGTTATTATATTTTATGACATTGTATTTGGACTTGACGTTTATTATTTGAATAGGTAGACATAACGTAAACACATATTCAGCTAAGAGAGCAAGACAAATATTACAGTACTTATGTACTGTTGAAATAACACTTTCTTCCCTTAGACAAACTACGACCACCCCTGTAATTTCGTTACGTACGTGCGCGCGTCCAGTACCGTTGTAACTAGGTTGTTTACAACCCTACTCTAGACGTAGCGTTAACTTAATAATCTTGGTGACAGGTAAAAATCATCTATGTACCACATACATATAATACAATTTTAACTAGATGTCTGTGTAATAAGAGATATAAGAAAACTATTATGAAGGGTCTTAATAATAGCAATAGAAGAAAAAAGAATAATTTATAGAATTTTTATATATCTATGTGTTTGTTCTGGTATCAAGAAAAAATTACTGTACCAAGTTGATCGTGGTTTTTACAGTTTTAAGTAGTACTTAAATCTAGTGTATGTGTTAGTACCTATTAGATTTTTGACTGCTACTTTGTACATTTGCATTTTAGAAGTAGGAAAATCAATTAAATAACTCATCTAGATGGCGAATCAAGATGAAACATACATCAAATTTTACATTAGACCTTCACGAATACAGTTGTTCGCTGAAGAAAGCAGTCTTTGCGCGATGTCAGAAATAAACACACATACAGACAAACAAAATTTTTATAAATTATTCTTTTGATATCTATTGTTTTTATTTATAACTCTATTCTCTAGTTATAATTTTATTATATTAGTAAAATAAAACTAAAATACGAAGTCGAGAGCAAAAACAAGTTAACTAACTATAAAGAAGTTATATGTATTACATTTTATAGAAGTTTGATTTTGGTCTTCAAGAATCTTCAATATTTACCAAGTTATGGGACCAACATGGAAATAATATATATAGGCGACGGTTACCACTTTTCATCAGGTGGACCGCCAGCTTGTTTGCCATTCTAAGTTGCATAAAAAAACCTTACAGAGTATGACAAGACTTATTAAAATTATTCAAACTCAAATACAAAAAATACAAGCGAATTCAATTTAGGGAGTACATCTGGAAGCCTCTAAAAATAACTTCTTTATGGAAGTAAACATCAGGTAGTTGTTTTGGTCCCATATAATAAGCGTACCCAAGAGGCTGTCCCAAAAGTGGATCGTAAAACTACAAAATGCAGTGAGTATACCTCCATAACAACACATTGCTATAAAATAAACTATTTATGAAATAGATATATTCTATATTTTGTTAAATCCATTTATTTAACAAGACATTTGTAAATAGAAGGAATTAAAGTGAATAAACGTTATTTTTACTTCTTCCTCACTTACTCTTACTTATTTTAACTCATCCTTACTTATCATTCGTCACTGATAACCCGCAACATAAACCAAGAATACAGACTTTATTGATTTATCCATAAAAATAAAAATCTCATCTGACTACTATGTTACTATCATAGTTATATACTCACCAATAATACACGACAGAAAATGAACTGTAAAGAGGTATACTGCGCCGGTGGTCCGCCCCATTGCTCAAAGCCCCAGAGGGGATGACGCCGTTCCTGAAACAAAGCCTATGTTAATAACCTCTCAAAGAAACCCTTTCTAGCCTTGAGGCGACTGGAAAATAAAAGAAACTAATCAGTAGCGAAGTATTCAGAACCTTGTGAAAAGAATTTGGTGACAAGTTCGTATATTTTAAAGTTGAAGTAAGGGATTGTGGTTTTCGTTATTTTTTTAATATATATACACATATAAAATATTATATTATATCTATATATTAAAAAAAAAAAACGACATCATAACCTTCAAGAAAAGAGTATATTCCTTTTTAAAAGGCCGGCAACACACCTGCAATGCCGTTGATGTTGTGGGTGATCATGGGCGGCGGTAGTCACTTATCATCAGGTAAGACGCATGCTTGATTGCTCCTTTTGTTGTAAAAAAATATATAAATACTATAGGTATTTATATATTTTTTTACTAAATTATATATATATATATATATATATATATATATATATATATATATATATATTATATATATATATATATATATATATATATAAAGCATCGAGTTTCAAAAACCGGTCAACTTTTCTCAGCTAATTGTGAAATTAGCTGCCTCGTTTTTTGTTATCAGTGTTCTATATACTTATACACACAATGTATCTTGATGTATTATTTAATAAATAAAATGAATATTTACGCATTAAAAAGGTGTTGAGTTTATAAGATATAATCAATATAGAAGTTATAAAGAAGTCACGTATAACTATTTATCACTGAAATTTGTATGAAAAAGTTAACCCGCTTTTCTCGAAGCATTTGTATGGGGACACTATCTATATAATCTAAAATTTATACATTTATATATATGTAATTGCATCTGAATTTAATTATAATATATTATAGTACTTTACTATATATCCCCAATATCAATGTCATATCGATCGTATTGAGAGAGTGCAAAGAAGTTTCACACGTTACTTGGCTTACAAAGATAAATTATGTCCAATAACTGCATCTTATACTGATCGTCTGGAATTCTTCGGGATGAAGTCACTGAGTCAGCGTAGAAAGATTATAGATCTTATAATGTTGTTCAAGATTTTAAATGGCCTTATTTTGATACCTGACGATGTTAAGGATATACGCTTGATAGTACCACGTAATTTCAATATTAGATCTGCTAAAATAGTTAACACATTTTCAACATACGCTTGTCGTACTAACTTAGGATCCAATTCTCCCCTCAACAGAATGTTATCATCGTATAATAAAGCCGTAAACGTTGATCATGATATCGACATCTTTGGTAATTCTTTAGTGCAGTTTACTAGACTTATTAATAATATGGATTGGTAGTTAGGTCTTTTCTTATTGTATAATTGTTAGTGTACATTGACGTTTATCTGTGAGAGCTGTATACACCTTTAATTGATATGTTCATATAGCCTTAAGCTTGGTAGTGAGGCGTAAGATTTTTTGTTCTAACTTAGATTTAAGCATTTTGTAATAGTAGTTTTTCTCTTTTACTTACTAATAACATTGTATATTGTCTACTTAATTATTGTGAGCATATTGTTGGTGTGTCTTTTATAAATAAATAAATAAATAAATTAGTACTACATTTTTACTTAACTAGCTTTTACCTGCAACTTCGTTCACGTGATCGGAATATGTTTACTTACCGGGATAAAAAAGCCCATATTTTATTCCATCTCATATAGTACGTATAATACCAAATTTCATAGTAATTGGTTAAGTCGTTAAGGCGCTATAAGGTAACAAACAAGCAAAGTCACTCTCATATTTATAATATTAGTAAGGACGAACTCATGTTTAATTTTTTAAACATGTTTATTGTTTCAATTTTTTTAGTTGTTTCTCAGTTTCATATATTGCTAACGAATTCGATTCCACCCTATATAATAAATAGATAGAAATCTCCATTCAATCGCAGTAACGTAAATTGTATTTAATTTTGATTATAATGAACAGTAATCAAGGAGAAACGAGGGCGAATAGCTGCTGAATTACTTCTAAAACTTTAACAGAGCCTTTAACGCGATCGGGGAAGTATTTTGAAAGCGCTTTGTTCAAAACAAAGATACTCGACCGATCAATATTGTCTAACCATTATATACTTTGCGATTTGATCGCGATTGCTCTGTTTATTCTTCTTTACTAAGCGATTTATAAATGGAGTAGGAAAGAATAATTCTTAATTCGCCTATTTTTATTACGAGTATATTTAAAAAATTCTGTATTGAATTTAATATTTTTTCTTGGAGCAAACAAGATTAATTTTCTAGTTTCTATCATGTTTCTATGTTAATTATGCTATAATTAATTAGATTTTATGTAATTTATAATTCTGAATTTATCGTCATTATTATACCAGCCAGCTGAACACAGGCCTCCCCTAGTGGAGGGCTTTTGCCAGTAATTATCATACTTGGCAGGTGGGTTGACAAACGCTGTTAGGTTTTGGTGATATTTTAAAAGGGAAGCTGTTGCCCATTTCTCGACCATTAAGATCCCTCAATCGCCTCTTACGACATTCATGTGAAAAGGAGGCGTGGTCTTTTCTACATATGTCGGAACTACACGGCAAAATTCTAAATACATTGGGACAATTTAATCAACTTCATTGTCCCGGTACAGAATAGGCCACCCCTTCCTTTCCCGTGGGTGTTGTAAAAGCCGACTAATGGAGAGAGAGGAATGGACACCAGCGTCCCTCTTAAAACGTCTCTAAAGCCAAACTGCGGTTGCCAATCCGCCTGTCAAGTGTGGCAACAACTGGCAAAATCGCTCTTATCCCTCAACAGTGGATAGTTAAAAGCTAACATGATGATATGAAGAATCAACTTTGAATTTGACTAAGTATATATAGTATGTTATATGTATCTACAATAAAAATCTATCTAATAATTTAACCTATAATGTTCGATTGCTGAGCAAAGAACGTCCTCGTCTTCTTACAAAATTATCTATTTTGCGTCACCTCGAACCAGTTCACAAAAAAAATCAATAATCTAATATTTTGAAGTTTATTTAGAATATTTTTGTTTTTTAAGTATAAAAGAGTCACTAAAATTCTATACACAAAAATATAATTCACATAATGCTATTTGAAAAGGTTATATTATTTTATTTGAAATGAAAGAAAAACTCTCCATGTGAGACCAGTCTGGTAAACCACTTTACGTCTGGCACACTGAGCAATCAACGAGTGCTGTTACACTAATTGGCAAATTTTTCTACTACCTACATTTAGCTTCCACTAATAATACCATCATTTTGGAAGTCAATCTTAGTCTATTATTAAATCTAATAATAAAAGGCAATGTAATTATAGAATGGCATTCAAGACTTATGTTGCTATCAATACAGAACGTAAAATTATTATAGAATTTATTTTCCAAGTGTATTTCCTTGGATTTATTTTAAGAAAATTTCTAGAGACAATATCTGTCTTTATATAGGTGAGTCTTCTCATTACTTGCAGGAAATGAATCCTGAAGTTATAAGAGGATAAAATATAGGTTATGAAAGTTTTAAGTAGTAGTAGTTTTGTTGTTGCTTTAACTTACATTTTACCATGAGCTTAAACTTTAATTTTAATTTTGTGTTTCAACCGTGAAGCAGTTGTGTTTGCATGGCTGTGTTTCGGTTTGAAGGGTGGGATATGGCGTGAATTTACTGGGTACAGAGGAATAACATCTGAGTCCTCAGGAATGGCAACGCATGGGGGTATCATGGGCGAAACAGTATACTCTGTTTTGTCCATGGTACTGCTCATGTCTATAGGCGACGGTTACCACTTTCCATCATCTGAGCCGTCCGCTTGTTTGCCATTCTAAGTTGTATAAAAAAAAAAACAAAATTTATACGTACTATTGACAAATTAATATATACCTATATTAAGTGATGAATGGACTGTTTGACAGCTTATATTATATTATTACTAATTTAGATTTTCACCTTCTCGACTTACATCGGCTTTAAATATATACCCCGTCTTGTAATGAACAGGAAAAAGGTACATATGTCTCCTATTGATAGTATTTTTTGTGTTGTTTTTCTCCTACTTTGCCCTATCCTTTGTTAAGTGTTTACTGAATTTGTGAATGGTTGTGTATTCGATGTATAAATAGTATTGGATGATTCTGGTGTATTTGTTGAATATTTCATTGTTGTTGACTGCTGCGTGTTTTGAATGTGATGACTTTGTGTATTATTTAATTTTGAATATGGTATCTCCTAATCCTTTGCTGAGTACGGTTGTAGTATAAATGGCTGCTTCTTTTTTTAAAATGGTCATGTTAAGCATATTTATGTGTTTTTTTTTTATATTTTTAGTTACTATTCCTGTTGCGACTATTACTATCGGGGTGATAATCATTTATGTGTTTCACAAACGACTGACTTCAGTTTTAAGAAGGTGGTATTTGCTTAACTTTTCAATTTCCTTGGCTACTATATTAGTCAGACAGTACAGTTATATGTATTATATTGTTGTTATTGTTTTTATCTATATGTATTAAATCTGGTACAACATGTGTTACTTTATTTATATTATATTATTTTTATATCATATTTTATTACATTGTATTATGCAGATATATAGACAGGTAACTTCTTGTTAATTAACATCTATTTTAGACAAATTATTATTAGAAACAAAATAACAGATCTTTGAGAACAGTACACAAATTGGGTTTTATGTTTCCGTCGTCCATTAAACAATGCCATTACGATTGTAGCGGGGGAAATGAAACAATTTGTCGCTGACATACCTCGTGTAAACAAGATGGATTGTGGAAGTCATTCATCATACTTGCGGTCCGTTCGACCCTAACTATCTCCTCGGAACCTCGATTTATCAATTATCCGCTTATGAGGCTTTCTCTTTGTATTTTATCTAATGTTCATCATGTAGGGTTAAGATTGAGACTCAACAAATTAAATGAGGTTAGATTTTGAAAGAAAGATGGCATAAAAATTCCACTTATACCATCGATATACGCTGGCAAGGTTACATTAAATGAAC